TATATTTAATTTAATTAATTTATATATATTATATATTATATTTTTAGTTTATTTATATTAAATTTTAAATAAAAATAATAATTTTTTAATAAATATATTATATATTGTGTTAAGTAGAAGGAGTGTAATATCTTTTTTTAGTTACTATATTTTAAAGGATGTGGTTATGGCAAGCTATGAATTTGTTAAAGTTACATAATATTATTGAAAAATATTAATTTTATTTGATTTAATTATTAAAAATAATTAATAATTAATAAAATAATTTATATTAATTAATTAATTATAAAAAAAATAAAAATATTAATCAAATTAAACATAATTTATGTAATATTAACAAAATGTTGGGTGGCGCCCTCAACTGTATCAAACATTCCTTTTTTAACTTAGAAGTAATATGCCGAAATTTTAATTTGTTCTACAAGAATTTAGATGTACAAGCTGCAAAGTACCACTCGGACCAGGTTTTCTAACTCAATAATTTATTTCCAAACTTTTGTACTTAAATTTAATTGGTAAAAAATTCGAACTCTATCAATTATTTAAGAGATCCCATCTTCATAAGTCCCCAAGTTAAAAAAAAAAGAAGGAAAGTACCATTTCGTTAAAATAATATAAAGACAAGTTATTTATTTTAAAATAAAAAAAAATTTATGAGAAATCACTCACTTAGTAATAGCATGTTTGGGTTAACTTGTAAAATTTTTTAATTTTTTTATATTATTTATAAGTGATAAATTTTAATTTTTATTGAATAAAAAATTTAAAAGTTACTTTTAAATATAGGAAAAAATTAGTGAAAAATGAGTAAAAAATGAGTAAAAAAATTTAATTTCAAATTAAATTTGAAACTTTTAAATTTTTACTGTTTGAGGTGTTTTTAAGGTTAAAAAAAATTTTTAAATATAAGTTTTAAGAAAAAATTTTAAACTTATAAAATATAAATAATATAAAAAAACTGAACTGAAATACTAAAAAACTGAACCAAATATGCTCTAACTTTCATTAATTCCGTTAGAAGCTGGAAGTCTGAGGGTAGATGAGTTTTAGGGCCTGTTTGGTGTGGATTATTGGAGCTTCAGCTTCTGGACATTATTCATGTCTCATGCATTTAAATTTTCCTCTTAAAAACTTACACTTATAAATATTTTTTTAACCTCAAAAAGCTCTTAAACAGTAAAAGTTCAAAAGTTTCAAATCCAAACTTTTCATAAACTCTCTTTTTACTTACTTTTC